TATACAATACCAGTTGTTTTACATGATTGCTGCCTTGTGTCACAAGATTTCACTCAAGGATCTGGGCCTTAGTTGGGGATGGTTTGCCCCAGAGGACACTCGGAGTCATTGTCCTGGTTTACAACGCCTTCATTGCTCCAAAGGCAGTACAGTTGGTTTACCTCCCACCATTGCTTTTTCCAGAATTCTAAAATACTGTCACCAAACAGAAGTGAGAGAGTCAGAGACACACACACACAACACAGACAGAGAGTGAGAGTGAGAGAGAAATATCCACTCAGTTTGCTTCTCCCCTGATTTGGCAATGTTAGTGATCAGCCTCAGGAAGCAATTAGCTTGCCAGTAAAATGCTCAGGAGGGCCAGCAGACAAGCCCAGCTACGTTCTAACCAAAGGCTCTCATCTCCAGTTTTTCCTTTGTCTGTTGGATTCCAAGGAACATTTCCTGGAGTTATACCGTTTACTTTGCTCAGATGTTCCTGGATATCTACTTGGTGGGGGGGTGTAGGGTTTTTGCTGCCTTACACGATTTTTGACCATTTTCATCATCTATTAGTGTTGAGAAAGTATATGGTAGATTTTCAAATGCCTCATTGCCAAAGTCAAAAAGGTTTTCCTTTTTTGATTAAAAATGGTGTTTTATTTTAGTCTTCATAAGGTTTTCATGATATTTTATTTTCTTCAGGGACATAACAACAATAATGCTACCGTTGTCATCCACAGAACTATGAAATACTCACTCTGTTCCTCTTTTCAATGGTCCTACTGCTAAACACTTTCTACTGCTGCCTATCAAATATCCCAATTGATCACAGCTTTGTAAGTAAAGATAACTGGGGTCAGAGAACGGCAAAACAGTAATTCTGGGGAATATTAGAAATGATTCTTGACATGATGACGGAGGCAGTTCGTAGACTTACATTTGCATAATTAGAGTCTGCTTTTCAAGTGGGCACGAATGCCATGGAATCTAAGACGCTTTCTTCCTCCTGACACCACACACCATGGGAAAAATAGGGTTCAGAAAGTGTTGAGGTAGATTTCAAGTGAAAGAAGTTAAGGATTTAGATAGAATTTTCTTTTTGTCCTAGGGTAAGAATGCATCATGAAAATGAACTGTCCTGAGTTGTATGAGCCCCTAATAAAATGATAAAAAAATGACTGTCCTTATTGAAAATGTGTGTTATATTAATACTATACCAACTCTAGGAAACTCCTTCAAAAAACAGCTCCGATACGGTCTTGACAGCTCTGCTGTCCAATGTGTTGAGCAATATGGCTGGCAAAGGGCGAATGCCGCCGATGCTGCCAGACCCCACGAGTGACCTGAGTGAATGCTTGTGCTTGTTGCAGTTTCTGCCCCAGTCATCACTTACGCTGGTTCAGAGACGCCACAGAAGCAGAGGTTGACTTGACAAAATGTGTCACTCAGACTGAATTGCTAGATTTAATAATATAGAACTCTTAAACTAAGACATCAGCAGAGTACATTGTAGGACTTAGTTCAACATAATGTGTTTAGCCAAGAAGATAAATATTAGGGGGTAAAACAGGAATCATAAAACCCACCTATAATCCAATAGTATATAAAATATCTGTATGAAAATATTCTGTTGATGCATGTTATCCAATATAATTACCATGATATTGGGGGGGTACTAAAGTAAAAATGACACAAAGCAAAGCTTTTAAAAACTAGCTCTAGAACTCTGCCATTGGGCATTTCACTAAACAATCAAATACTCTACCATTTTCCTAAGCTTTTGATTATTAGGTACTAAGACATTTCACAGAATACACACACACACTACCCTGATTTGCCATCACAATTTGCAAAAGAAAAAAGTCTTAAGTCATGTTGAATCAGGTTGATTGTGCTTCGATCGATATAATCAAAGACAGAGCACATGTATTAGATAATTGAAAGGAACTAATCTTCCAAACAAAATATCCGTTCCCTTTGTGAAATAATATCTAACTCATCTGGCTTGTCTAGCAAGATAGAATGTGGGATATAAGAGTCAAGGGCACAATTTCCATCTATAATAATGGCAATGATAACAGTGGGCATATACTTTAAGGATACTTTGACATATTTGAACCTCACAAACAAGTCAGGGGGTAGAGAAGAGAGCATCGTTATTGTTTTACATATTAGTAATGGGTTACACAATTGAACAGCAGCAGAACTCATGCTCATAAACAGAGCTCTTGACTCCCCAAATAGTGCTCTTCTTCACCACATTGACATGCTGCCACCTATCTGCTCTTCCTAGCAGATCCAAAGACTATCTGCTTTTACGTCTATCAATCTCATTGGTGCTATTGATCTAAATGGTAGCAGAAAAATATGTGCAGCTAAATTAAGACCAAAAAAACCCCATTACCAACAAGTCAATTCTGACTCATAGCAACCCTTCTGGAGACTCCCCATAAGGTTCCCAAGGCTGCGGAGCTTTATAAAAGTGGAATGTCACTCCGTTCTGCTCTCCCAAAGTGAGGAAGGGAGCATCAAATTGCCAACTTCTCAGTTAGCGGCTGAACACTTACCATTGCACCACTAGGGTTTCCGAATAAAGACAGCTCACTGCCATCGAGTCAATGGTGACTCCTATTGATTCTATATGGACAGGGTAGAACTGTCCTTATGGGTTTGAGGACTAAACTCTTACAGAAGTAGAAAACCTCATACTTTTCCCTTAAAATAATGAGGAAACCATCCCTAATTTAGTTGTTATTAATTCAAAGACAACCCTATGGATAATAGGGCACTTGTATCTCCATTATAGGAGTGGTTCCCAAAGTTTGTTGCATATTGGAATTACTGGGGTATTTAACATATCCCAGTATCCAGGCAGTCCCATATCAATGGTATTAGAATTTAGGCACTGTGTGTGTGTGTGTGTGTGTGTGTGTGTGTGTGTGTGTGCTTGGTTACTCCAAGTGTGAGAACCCATGCCCCACAAGAGACACACAATAAACACTTGATGAATTAAATGGAAGGGCATATTTCAATAAGCAAAATTAAATGTGGCCCGTAAGGTAAGAAGGATGTGATTAAATTTCTAGGTTTCAAATTTTAAAAATAAATAGAGCCTATAATTTATTTATACCACCGAGGATTGGGAATTGATGTCAACCTTCAATAATTTTCATATCACAGCTGGTGCCTAACATTGACAATAAACCAACCTCACGGCCCTGCATCAATTGATTCATGACCACTGTATGGGAGAAAGGAGAACTGCTCTATCTAGTTTCTATCTATAAATCTTTAAGAGAGCAGAAAACCCCATCTTTTTCCCTCGGAGTGACTGGTGGGTTCGAACTACTGACCTTGTAAGGTGCAGTCCCAACACCACATTACACCACTAGGGCTCCTGTAAAACTGACAATAGCATAGACTCTGAACCATCTCCCCCTGTGAAAGTACTGTTGCATTGTATACAAATCATTACAGGTCAGGAGAAAGTCAGTCTCAGCTGGGACCTGAGTTGGGTTCTACGCGGTTGGAAAAGACATCGAGAAGCAAGCAACTTACAAACACCTGGAGTTCGCCTCAGTTGTGGGCAAAGCACAAGAAGGAAGGAGTGATTGATCCTGTAGCTCAAAGGTGAGGGCTAAAAGGAGAAAGCCTAGTCCTGAAAAATAGTCTGTCATAGTCAGTAGAAGGGCTTATTCACAGGCGAAAGCTGAAATGCAATATTCAGTGACCGGTTCTTAGATTAGAATACCTGCTGCTTGCAGCCCTGAAGACCACGAGTCCAAGCACTGACAGATTTGCTTTTGCTGAACCGATACCACAAATGAACACCGTTCCTGTCGCACAACACTGATCTCTCATTCTGACTCCCTGAAAAGATTCAAGTCGCCAGTCTCTTTACAATCATAACTGGCACAGGTTTGAAGAAACTCACTTCAAACAAAGCAACAGATGGGAAGGTGCACTGAGGCCCAAACCGACAGCAGGCGCACCTGTGGGCCATGTCCTCCTCCTCGACTTCTACAAGGCACAGGTGGCAGTGTGGGAGCTTTCTCAGCCCGGGCGCTCTGTGGAGGCTACGGTACTGGTGATTGGGAGTGAGTCCACGTGAGAACTTAGGACGTCACCTCCACTGATGGGGAACCTAAGATAATGTCGGGGAAAACAACGAGAAGCGGACAGAAGCAAAAAGTCCCCAACGCTTAAGGAACTAGCGCAAGGAAATAAACACGAAAAAGCAGTCCTTCTAAGCGATCGCAGGTCCGCTCTTTGGCTGGCTCGAGATTGACAAAGCTGACAAGCTTCAGCCCCCATCACATCCCCTTTGAGGAACTAGACATGGGAATGGGCTCCGCTTCTTTCCACCGCTGCACCTGCTTTCAATGCATCTGTATCTGCGCTATGCCATCGCATCTGCCTGAGGGTGCCGGGCTCCTCACACGTTTTTGAAGAAAAATAAAATAACCATCAGCTTGTCATCACTGTGTCTCACCACAGTTGCATTTGGAGCTCCTGGGGGGGGGGGGGGACACGGAGTGAGGGAAGCCACACTACGGGAAGCCGAAAGCCACCTTCACGACTGCAGAGAACACAGTTTAGAAGGCAAACCTATAAATAGGGGGCTCTGCTGTGAGCACACGGTAAATATAAAAGCGGCAGACTGGCCGAGGCGAACTTACCTGGTTTTTTAAAAGTCCCCATTTGCAATGCTAACCATCAGCACAGCTACGCTTTTCCTAGTTGCATAGTAAAGCGAAAACTCCCCGGCAGCATTTTAAGTATCCCAGGCTCATTTTTCATCAGAAGCAATAGTTTGCAATTATTTCATTCCGCGGCAGCGGTCCCTTAATCGACTGAATATGCAGGGCAACAGGAATGGAAGGAATCGAAGTTAAACCCTGCAGCCGCACCAAGGAAATAGCAACCCCAACCCCAAACAGCAGCAAGTGCCTAAGAAAGGTGCTTTTCGTAGCTGCCTTTCAAACATACAAAGCTCGAGTTCTGGAAAAGACTCTTACCTGAGCTGATCATACTGTGCATTCTCTGCTGAGCCAAGAGCTGCTCGCGTCCAGCCACCCCATCTGAGGAAAAACACGAGTCACTCTCGTCAATTGTCTGCAGCATGTTCCACTCACCCTTCCTTCAGCCACATGAAAGATTCATCACTGCTCAAGCGCACCAGCCCCAGGAGCGACCCGCGCGGAGGAAAGCCACTTCGCCCAGGAGTTCCCTTCTCCAAAGATGAACATCCACTTTGTAAGAGACCTGGACACTTACCACAGTACCAACCAGGGTGCCGAGCCGAAAGGGCAGCGTGGATGCTACGGCTCTGGAGTTTAGGGTATCCCGGAAACTAAAGGCAGGTGGGAAATAGACATGTGCTTCGGGGTGATTTCTTTTGTCAGAATAAGTAGAAAAATATTAACTCTACCCAGGAGAAAAAGAAACCAATTAAACCTAGCTGTATTTCTTCCGGCTGCTAGGGTTTTGTTGCAAGAACCTTTAGCCCTGTCAAAGGCTCCCGCCCGTGCCCTCCTCCTATCTGTTTATGTGTGTGCGCCTCTCTCTCCCCTTCCCGGTCTCTCAGCTCAAGTTGGCTAAAGCTAGTGATAATCCATTTGCATATGAATCAACAACAGCATGGCCCACAGGCACAGAAATAGAACAATGGTCGGCTTGAGCCAAAAATAGGTCAAGCATGGCCTAGTGATTGGAGCCTGCATTAATGCATTTAAAAATACCCCAGCAAACCCAGCTGTCCAGCCTCTATCTTTCAAACCATAATTCTCTATTGCTGGGCTTTAAAAGCAATTAACTCTTTCCTTCCTCCAAGATTGCTGTGTTTCGATTGCAGGCGCTCAGCTTCCAAAGAAAGGAAGGCAAGGGGGGATAAAAATTAAGAATCATAATTCAAAGAGGGCAAATGCACATACATTTCATTTTATTTTTGTAGTATGTGTTTTGGAGAGAGAGAGAGAGAGAGAGAAAGAGCGAGCAGTGCAAAGCTCTGTATTGGTTCTAAAATAATACTGGAAGCTTTTGCTCATAATGTGGTTTCTGCCTCACCCACGCACAGCAATCCTGGTGTTCTATTTTTGTTGCCTGTTTCTCTGGCTACACTGCAGTTGGCTGTAGCACTAGAAGCTTTTCTGCCTTCTAGTTTCTGGACTGACAGGAGATTTAGTGGAGGTAGTTTCAGAAAAACAAGCACACCCTAGAAAAAAATGTTTATGAAGGATTGGCTTACTCTTTTATCAATAGCGGGCTATTTATGTAAGGCAATTGTACACTTCACAATCCGTATCACTTATCAAATTCTATTGCAATCAACTCCGACAATACCTAAGTAAAAATAGAGAAAGAGATAGAGACAATTTCAACCTGAAAAACCTCTTGAGCTAACTTCAGCTTGCCTATAAAAGTAGGC